CAAATTTGGGCACACACACAATCGACTGGGAGCTGGCAATTTTCAACCATTGCGGGCAAATGCACAATCTCCACGATTGGCGTGCGTGGGAAAATACGTGATGTGTTGGTAAGGGGCAGTTGAATTGTTTTTCAATGACTCAAACATTGTTTCTAAGAGTCGTTTGAAAATCAATCCGCCCAGTTATCGCTCTATTCCACTGGGGGAATCCCTCGCACCAACAAGCTGGTAATTCGACAAACATTTTACTCGGGAACCAGCAAAGGCGGCAATCGTCGCTACGCGTATTTTTCACGTCGATCAAGATTAGATCGGTTACACGATACTTCTCTGTAGGTATATATGGAGGAACTCGGAGCCAAAATAAACTCAACTGCCATTAACCCCGCGTGAGCAGCGGCATCTAAGCAAAACAATGGAATCATTCAGTCCCTCACCCCTACCTGGCATATGTACGAAAGTGTATTGTAATATCCCACAATCTAACCCCCTTCATACCGCAATTTTACCCACAAATGGCGGGCGACAATTTTCCATCCACTCTCCCATCGCTCACGGTGCAGTCGATGTTTTTGTCTTGCTCATATTTTTCGCTCATTTCGTCAGCCGTCACGACGATCAAAGTAGTCGTAGCGGAAGATCAAAAACAACCAAAAACCGTGCGCTTGCTTGGCCAACTTAGCTCCCTCTGGGCTTACGAACGAGCGGAAGAAAAATGTTTTAATTCAGCCGAAAATTATCCGCTCGCCCTTCTCCTTCCTGTGAACTTGAGACCGCCGATGCACCGTTCGTCTTAAACTATTACTGAAAGTTGGTGGAAGAAGAACTCTGAGCCTGATGGCTTTGGGTGCCGTCAGCCGTCGTCGTCGGTTGCCCGGTAATAACCGTAATAATTTGACGTTTCGGTCACTTACCGCCTTCCGACTCCGATGACCGGCCAAGAGCAAAAAGAGCAAGAAGCTTAAAGCAAATGATGAACATCGAAGGCGGCGAAGAAATGTAGCGAACAAGTTTTCCTCATTTCCCCATACCACCCTCGTACCCCCTTACCAAGGGTCGGCCACCTTGGACCGGAGACGAAAAACAAACCGTCGAAGGTGGAGAAAAGGTGCCCGAAAGAAGATTACATTCCTTACGGTCGCGCGCTCGCGTTCTCAGCGGATGACACGATGAGTTCTCTTCTTCTGTCGTCTTTTTCTTTAGCTTTTGGGAGGAAAATTGGAAGAAGGAGAGTAAGTGGAACGACAACGACAAGTGTGAGAATTTTTGACCTCACAACCGGTGATGTTTGCTGGAGCGCGGTCGGTGGATCTTCCCCAGTGCTTAAGGTGGTGGTTCACTTCGGATGGGTACTTAATGGCGATAAGCCGCGGGCAGGCAACTCTACTGGGTGGATGAAGAATGACGGGGGAAGGAGGAATTTAATATAAAACAGCATAAAGGTAAATAATAATAAAAAAAAAAACGAGCAGATCGCCAGCCGTGAAAGGGTCATAGCAGGCGGTGGGGACCTTATTGAAGAAGAGTGGACGAAGTGGCAGCTTACTAAAAAGCATAAAATTTATTCATGTAGGGTACGTTCAGGTGAAGAAAAGTAGCGAGTTGGATGATATTAGAGGGCGTTTTGTACCGAGGGCTTCTGTTTTATTTGTTTTCGTAGGTGAAGTTATTAAACGCGTTGTGAATTGCATTGTTTAGTTTAGTTTGATGGGATGATTTACCCGAGGAGAAATTACAATGGAAAAAAGTTGTATCGGATCTTTGCAAAACTTAGTAGCAGTTGGTTTTCATTTCATATTGTAAATAAAGAATCTAAATATAAAAAATAAATACAAAGCTCAACTTGTTTCCTGGGTATTAAACGACTAAAATGAATGTTGAGCAATTTAATATAAATTGAATGATTTTTTCAAAAAATCCTATGTATATGTTTGAATTATTTGAAGGAGCTTGGGATTGAAACTGTGGAACGAAAATCGGTATGCAAAAATGGTTATTCCCAGGCCATATCGAGATGTTGGAAGTTGAATGATATGGAATGTGTTTAAACCGACGACGACGGTAGTATTCACGCAAAACACGATGGGTAATTGAATAACAAATCACATGTTTATTACTTCATGCGTGAAGTTGACGATTACAATGTTGGACGAGATATTTAATTAATATCACTGCTATGCTTAAGGCAAAAATTTATGCTAGAGGAAGTAATTAATTGATAGTTCCGTTAGGGTGTGGCAGTTTGAAAATCGTATAACGGAATTGAAAATGAGTAAAGGGCTCTTTGGTAGGCATACGGGTTTAGAATACTGGCATTAGAAAGGCTCTCCTGATATGCTCATGTACTGCCAATATGCAGATACAGTTCTATAGATGTTTGCCCAGTCGATTGATGTGACCCAAATTTTTAATGAGAAGGAATCTGGGATTGAGCCTGCGATAGTCTACTCAGTAAGCAAAACCGTCTCAACAAATCACTACAATCGTCGAATTTCTTCGTCAATCAGCTTAAGATTGAAGCATAACTCATAAATCATTTGCATGAAATGATCTTACGAGCGAGTAGCATACCAAACACTATTTTAACAATTAAATGTTATTTTGAATTCCAAAAAAAAAAAACAACTTAAACTTATGTATAGTGGTATCCACTTGATATCATAATTATTTTTTTATTTGGAATTGAAGTGATAGGCGGGAACAAATTTCTCTACAACTCGACATTGAAGAGACCATCGAATTATTGTGATATAGAAAAATTCATAGGTAAATAACATAAGAAATCACCATCACAGGAGTTAAGAATTCATTGTTTAAATGATTCTTTAATTTGGTATCTAATTAGTGTAAATCAAGTTGTGGAGAGTTTACAGTAATTCTTTATATTTTACCTCTTATGTTATGTTCACCAACCAATAAAAAGTGTGCAACTTTTGCAATACCGGTTATAGACAAGCGCACGCACAATATTACCCAAGCAGCTCCCTTCCTCTCCCACATGAGTGTTTTTAGAATAAATAGGCGATTTGAAGATCTCTGTAGCCTTAATCAAGCACATTGTGTATTTTCAGTACATCCAGAGTGTTCTAATGCCCTTTTAGGTGATTGAAAAAACACTTTAAAACGTTTGAAGTCATTTTACCATTTTCAGAATTAAAAACATCCTAGAGTTCCTAACAATATCTGGCGATTAGTATTTAAATGACTATTTTGCCTTTTAATAACGGTTTTGAAGATTTAAATGCCTAGTGAATTATGTTGAACTAATCCCAAGTAACAATTTTGCTTTTATGAAGGTTCTGTAGACCATGATTTAGACTTATAGAATACTATAAAACCTCTATAAAACTGAAAATGTTACTTGAGATGGCATCATTTTCGATTTTACTTATTATTTGGCGATTAACATTTTAACATTTTAACGGAATCCCTTTATGAAGAGCTTTGAGTCGGTTGGTTTATTTCCTTTAAATTCCGTTATAATTGCTTATCTTTTGACAGATACGCATATTTTGTCTACTACTTGCAGACTTCATAAGTGCCAAGTACTCAACACCACCAAGCTTTGATTGTTTGAATAAAGTTGAACGTGTTTTAAAATGGGTTTTGGGAAAAATAAGCTTGAAGGTCAAAGTTTTTCCAAACCTTTAACTGTTTATATTTTGGTAAAAACTACCGTAGTCGATAATAATTTCTCAGTGCTTAGGCAACTCAGGATGCCTAGCAATTTTTCCCCCCGATAAGTCATATAAGAGATTTAAAGACCTTTTGACGTTTTAATTCTAATTTCATGCTTTTACGGTCGCTTCAGTCATTTTTACGCTAAAATAGAATGATGGTGACGATCTGAAGGCCAATTTTCAAGGCTCATTTGGAACGTTAAAGGCCATTTTGGCATTGTAAAACCTGTATATAGTTGCCTTTCTTATTAAATATTGACGTTTCAAGGGATTTTTTAATAACTAATTCTATGAGGATTATTAAGTCATTTAGTCATCTTGATGCCATTTTGGCGCTATTCAAAACATTTCGGCGATTTTAAGGCAATTTTGCTGTTTTAAAAGAAAAATTCTTCTCCCTATACAATCAATTTGCATGTCCAATTTTTGTAAGCTTCACATTATACATTCTCCAAATACCAGATACAAGTCGCGACTCATGCAACGTTGCCAGATGCCCCAAACTCCTTTTCAAAAGTCCATTGACGGATCCTTAAAGCATTCAAATTGGACCTCTTCATGATTTAGAGGCTTGCTTCTTAAATCTTAATTTATAAATTTTATAACTTGATTTCCAAAGTCAAATTAAAAAACAAATTCCGAATAACGGACCGCACAATTCCTACCATATTAATATTTTTTTCGCTTCGTGAACAATTAATCTCATTTTCATTTGAGAAAAGAGTGCAATTTATACGTGTCATCTGCAACTTTTGCTTGACGAGTGCTAAGTCAACACCCAGCTGTCTGTTTTTAGAAAGTAACGCAACTCATACGTTAAGACTAAAAAAATAATCCAATTTCTATCAATAGTTCACATTGTTTCCGCTCCACTCATCAACTTCCATCATAATCATCATAATTCGCAGTGTCACAACACACCAAACGCTCCATTTCAAAACACGCTCCCTCTACCCCGCGAGCCAATTGATCCCGACAATCGAAGTAACCCGATCTTTCCCGACCTTGCTTTGTGCTCCATCCGAGCAGAGTGAAGAAAAAAAAAACAAAAATTGTATTGGACCACTTCTCCTCCTAGCGCAGAGCCCAACAGATGAAACAGGTGTCCTTCATTATTCTTCCTTTCCATTTCCATCTTAGAACATCTTTGTGATCAACACCTTGCGCCCGCTATCAGCTGTCCAGGGTGAGCACGCGAGAAAACACCTGTCACCTCACTACTCGCTCACCGCCGTCGCAGAGCCTGCTGCGATCCTTCCCATTCAATTACGTAACTTCTTCCTTTATTCCTTCGGCACCCCTCAAACGGCTTGCACTTACCTGTCTAAGAAGTCAATGCTTGCTTCGGTGGTAATCCATTCAACCGCTTCGATGCAGCTTCATGCTAATCCGTGAAAATCGTAACAGTTAGTTTGTCTTCGTTAAGTCTTTTGACCCCTTCTACGTGTTCGAGTCCTCTCTAATCTGTCTGCAAGTGCGCGCGCGACGTTCTTCTTCACTGCTACAGTCACAGGTCAACAGCTGGAATGCTGGCGCTCGCCGTTCCACCTTCTCTTCTCTCCCTCTCTCCCTCTTTCTCTCTCCTGCTATGGCCTGCTGCTTTGCAGGCAAACACTTTTGGATGTCACGTCACGATATGCGGCAGATCGTGGCGAACTAGATCGTGCGAGGTGACACTTCCGCTCTCTTGATTTTTATTTCGGGCAAACTCACTGTTGCGATCACTTTCTTCAACTTTTATTTGCTTCAACCTTTTATTTTGAGATTTCTTATTTTCTTCCTTTATATTTGGAACTGTGTTTTGCAAACGGAGAGAGCTGAATCTTCTTGGTTTTCTGCCCTTTTCCTTTTCTCTGTGTTTCACCTTCGTTTATATTACTCTACTGCTACTATTTTTCCGCCGCTCATGGCTTGTTGTTATTATTACTTTTTGCACTTCACACACTCACCTTTCACGGCTACCGCTTCGTTGATTGCGATTTTTTTCCTGTTATTTGCCTCTTTTTTGCTATGCTTCACAGGCACGGACATACACACTTGGGCTTTCCGCTTATCTTTTTTTTTTGTGCACCTAGGTTGTATCTATTTTCTTCCCTCTAATATGTTATTAGTTGACACTTTGTTTTCTCTCCACTTTTCGCCTGTTTTGCGGCTCGTTCTTCTTCAGATTCTTCCTACGAGCTTGATTTTCGGTGTGCGTGTCGGTTTCTTCGTTGTGTCACGCTGATAATTATTTCGCTCGCACTTAATTTGTCAAACCACTTTGATAGCACGGGGAACTAGCGATTTGTTTTCATGTGCTCTTCACTCTTGGAGTTGAGTCGCTTCCTTCGGAGCGATGGTCATTCACGATTAATCCGTTATAAAACTATTTGCTCTGGAGACAGCTGATACCACTGCCTATTTTGGTAACTGCCATCCGTGGTGTAGGTTCGACTGCCGCACTTAATCATCCCCTAATAATAATCATTCCTTCCTCTAATTCTATCAATTTCTGACCCCGCAGAACGACAACACAATTCAACACAGCTATATTTTTCCCTTGTCACTCTTCGACACAAATTTACGGATATCCTTCCCCGCCGTTTTTGTGTTTCCTATTTTTATTTCACGTTTGTTTTGCGCCTTCCTTCCTTCCACTGTGTATTCTCCTCTCACATTAGGATTGCACCGTTTCAAAACACCGGGAATAATATACACTCGATATCGTAGCAATCGGCTGTAACGCGACAGGACAACTGTTGTCTGGAGCGACCGATCCTGACAGATGTAATATTTTTTTTATATTTTTTCCATCTTCTTTCATTCACATCTTCTCAACTTCACTTTTCAAGTTTCCTGCTTCCTTTTTCGGGTACTTCTGTTTCTTCCAATCCTTGTACCAGTCTTCTGTTTTGGTAAAGGGTTTTATCTAAAAACCAAATTCACCAACTACTCAAACTAACGATAAACTAGAATAGTGTTTTCCCTTCTGTTGCCACACTGTTTCCTTTTTTCAGAGGTGTGTATTTTTATGTGTAACTCTCCCTTGTTTCTCTCTGTCCGGAGGTCGCGCGTCAAGTCGAGAGGTAAACGATAGACTAAACAGCCCGTCTGATATTTGGCTCGGTCACACAGGCAAGCGACGGCTAAGGCGACGACGACACCACATACAATATCGTGAGGGCCTCTCACGGAAGCAACAAGAGCAACAAAATCGCATTCGGTTCGTCTTCGGCTGCGCTCGGCGAGTGCCTGTCTATCCATCCATGAGCAGAACGGGAGAATGAGTGCACTCAAAGCCACAGTCAGTGTTGGTAAAAGTTGTTGTTGTTGGCGGCTGTATTAATAATAATGACAGACACCACAGCACGGCAAACAGTGCATGGCGTGAAGGCGGAAAGGGAAAATGCGAAAATCCTCCGGATCTGGAAAAAAAAAATACTCTACTGAGTTTGGTACATACATTTATTTCAGAGCAGATACGAATCTAGGGAACGAGACAGAGACAGCGAAAGAGAGATATTGAGAGTGTCGTGCGAGCAATTCGATAAATTGAGAGCGAAGCGAAAATTAACTCACACTCCATGCTCCGCTGCTTCGCGTCCGTCGTTCCGCCGCCTGTTCAACCCGTGCACATTGCTGGTGGGGTGAACCGTGTGAAGGGAGAAGAATTTTGTTGGAAGATATGGTTATCATTCTTATTTGAACAAATTGAATGAATTATGCAAAATTAGGTGGAATAATGCGATTTTTCGGGAAACGAGAAGCGGAACCGTGGGAATTTGAAATAGTTGGCAGCGTTTTGTTTTTTTTTTCGGAATTATTCTAGCTTTGAGAGTAGTGTTTTTATATTAAAATAACCACAGTGCATTGTTCTAGAATAGTAAATATCATATGCTGCAATAGTTTTACAAGCAGACAATAAAACTATCTTAAATTAATTCAGATTCTGCCTGAATATTCAGGTTCAATTAAATCACAATTCTCTGAAGGAGAACCAGGAAAGAATAAGGTAATCTTGTAAATTCCTACTGTTTGCGTCACTCTTACCGAAATGTTTAAAAAGCGTTGGAAAATTCTACTATCCGAATAAATGTAGCGAAGAAAAAACTCTTAAAGAAAATTTGTTTTGACCAATTTTTGAATTGTTTACCTATGATTTTAAACAATTCAATTATACAGTCTAATTTCGTTTTTTTGCAATATAAGGCTGAAATACGACTAATTTAAATTTTGGGAGCATTAAATTAACCACCGAACAACCATTGAAAGTTGAATAAGTGCTTTTTAAACTAAAATATGCTTAATCAACTAAAAAAAATGCTAATTCAGCTCTTAATCAGTTCAAATTGCTTGTATTTCAAAAACGACAATGAGTGGGTTTGTTTGATACTTGAGAAGAAGATAATTTTTTTCTTGGAAATTGTATATACCTGAGCAATAACCTTGAAATGCGAAGAAGCAAAAGAAGAAAAGACGAGAATTAAACTCAAGAATCTTGATTATTTTCAAGCTGTATGGTTAATACTAAGAGGTTGGGCACACCTGGGCAGAGTCATCGGCACTGATTGGCACCCATGGTTTCAATTTTTCTGATTACTGGCAACACTGAACTTTTTCTGCGCCTGCGCAGTGTGCATGTGTCAAAATTTGATATAGATGTTGCCACAATATAATCTTCTTCTTTTTCGCATTTCAAGCTTATTGCATATCGCATATTAGTTCCACAGTTATTAATTGAGAGCTTTCGATGCCTGTACCATTTTTGCATTGGTATAATTGTGTGGCAAGTCCAATCATACTTATATACACACTACTTAAAAGTCATGTAAATTTCGGTTCCCTGAGACCGACACATGTAAGCGGGCCTTTTGACATAAGAATCAGTTGAATGAAACGTGAAAATCAATTCAATCAAACGTTGTCCTCGTCGACTAGCTGATGTTTCGGTTTGAGAACACTTAATTTTACATGAAATGTTTGTTTACGTTCTATGATTTACGTCCAATATGGATTACGTCTCGTGTAAAAGTATTGAAGGAAATGTCGATACTGAAGTAGAAAAATTTCACTCAATTCTTCAAAGCCTAATTTTAGAAACTGTACCATAAAAAAAAAAGAAGACGAACACAAACCAATAAACTACCCGCATGGTTCAATCCACAACTGAAAAATTTAAAGAATAAAAAACAGAAAGCTCATAAACTATACAAAAAAGAAAAAAACTGAAACCAATTTGCGAAACTATCACAACATAAGCAACCAATCAAATACAGCCATCAACTCTGCATATGAGGACTATAACCGCAAAGTCGAAAATGAAGTCAAATCATGTCCTAAGAACTTTTTTAATTATGTAAACACGAAATTAAAAAGCAGCAATTTTCCTTCGCGAATGAATTTGGATGCAAATGTAGGTGAGAATTCTTCTGAAATTTGCAGTCTCTTTGCAAATTTCTTCCAAGAAGTATACACCACATTTTCCGAAGAAGATCGTGACCGCGATTTCTTTGCATTCATTCCTGAAATTTTTAAAAACATCTCTGTCAACCAACTTTCTCAACATGAAGTCCTCAATGCACTAAAAAACTTAAACGCGTCGAAAGGGTCTGGACCTGACGGCATCGCACCCATATTTTTGAAAAACCTTTCTGAAGAACTCGCATTTCCTCTAGAGCGTCTTTTCAACATGTCTCTGAAAAATGGAAAATTCCCTGAAATTTGGAAATCATCTTATTTGGTACCTATTTTCAAATCAGGTGCAAAATCAGACATTCGAAATTATCGTGGAATTGCTATTATTTCTTGCATTCCAAAACTTTTTGAATCAATCGTAAACGGCAATATTTTTCACCAGGTGAAAAATCTAATTACAAGTAAACAGCACGGCTTTTTTAAAGGTCGCTCAACTACCTCTAATCTTCTAGAATATGTATCTTTCATTATTAAAGCGTTGGACAGTGGCAAGCACGTTGAAGCGCTATACACCGACTTCAGTAAAGAATTTGACCGCATCGACATACCATTATTAATCCTCAAATTGCAGAAAATAGGAATGGAGCCTGGACTTTTGAATTGGCTTCAATCATACCTAACACATCGTAAACAAATAGTTCGCTTTCAAAATAAACTTTCAGAACCAATTTCAGTCACCTCTGGGGTACCCCAGGGTTCTCATTTAGGCCCACTTCTTTTTATTTTGTACATAAACGACATTTCCTACATACTTAAAAAAATAAAATTGCTTGTATATGCAGACGACATGAAGCTCTTTATGGAAATAAGTAATTCTAGCGATGCAGAAGAATTCCAGAATGAAATCAATATATTCCACACCTGGTGTAGTAAAAGTCTACTTAAACTGAACGTAAAAAAATGTACTGCAATAGCATTTAGCAGAAAAATTGAAACACCGCATATTGAAATATCATTAGGCAACCAAATAGTAGAAAAAAGCAAAATTGTAAGAGATCCAGGTGTAATCCTAGACTCCAAACTAACTTTTATTGAACATTATAATACTATCATTAGTAAAGCAAACAGAATGCTAGGCTTCATCAAAAGGTTCAGTCATAATTTCGAAGACCCATACACTATTAAGCTTTTATATACCACATATGTAAGGCCAATTCTGTAATACTGCCACCTAGTATGGAATCCATATATTTCCATACACGAAGAACGCATAAAATCTGTCCAAAAACAATTCCTTTTATATGCTTTACGTAAATTGAATTGGACTGCATTTCCATTACCATCTTATGAAGCGCGCTGCATGCTCATCAATATACAAACACTTAAGGAGCGCCGCCAATTTGCAATGCTTTTCTTTATCAACGACATTATTTCAATGCGCATAGATTCGGCAGAAATTCTCGCACAATTAAATTTTTACACAGCTTGTCGATATCTTAGAACACGGAATTTATTTTCAGAAACATCGTACAGAACAAACTATGCAAAAAATAGCCCAATCAATCGAATGATGCGCCTATATAATTTGCATTGCGGAACTATTGACATCACTATGTCCAAGCAGCAAATACAAACTAAGCTTAAGGGGGTATTCCCGATCTTTTTTTTTCAAAAAATCAAATTTTTTTTTTCACGTTTTTTTGTACTTTAGGCTATATACTTTCATCCCCCCAAGCCGTTTTCCGATCAGCGAATTCGGTGTCCAGGCATAGCTGACTAATGGTAAGAACCCCCAAATGGTTTTAACTAAAGTCAAAACTTTAAACGCGTTTTTCTCGAAACCACATTTTTTTATCGGGCGAAGATTTTTCTCAGAAACTATAAGAGATATTGACTTGAATCTTCGCACATTTTGTTCCTTATTAAATTCTTTGGAGCTTCTCCCACTTTCAGCCAAAAATATTAACATTTAACATTGTTTGAAGCACCTTAAAGCTGCAAAAAAGCGGGCTTAAAATCGCCTGTTTTTTCATATGGCCGCCATTTTGTTAATTTGCAAGATTTTTTGCTGCCAACGGGAGAAGCTCCAGAGAATCTTATGCAGATTATTAATTTCATCGCAAAATCTGTTTCAGATGAAGCCGTTCCAGAGAAAAGTCTTCGCCCGTCCAGGCGTTTGCGGCGAACAGGGGTCTGTTTGCCGCCATTTTGTGACGTCAATAATGTCTTTTTTTATGTCGGAAAAAATTTATTTGTAAACTTTAATGTTCAATAAACAAGAATCCCAAAGAGTTAGGCGCATTACTATTCATTTTCCTTGAAAAAAAAATAATTGAAAAACAGGCCGAAAAAAGGCAAAAGATTGGGAATACCCCCTTAAACAGAATAGAATTAATGCATAGTATGTAAGTAAACATTGTAATAATCATTGTATGTAGCCTACACTGGCTTGACGAAATGGAAATAAAAAATAAATAAATCAAAAGTAGTTATTTCTAAGTGTACTATACTACCAGGGAAGTCGAGAAATTTTCCAACTCGAAAAATTCCTAGACCGGACCGGGAATCGAACCCAGCCACCTCCAGCATGGTCTTGCTTTGTAGCTGTGCCTTTACCGACTGAGCTATGGGAGGCCCCTAATATAATCAATGGCCCCTAGGCCACAATATAATCAATGTTTTTCAAAAATCAACTGTGAATCTCCATCAAGTCTCGT